AGGAAATGAAGTTCAGGACACAGCACCTCTGCCTTTTTGCGCTGAATACTGCTTAAAGTAAAATATAAATTATTAAGGTGTCTGCAACAGCATTAGGAGTTCCCATATTTTTCACGGCATTTAAAAATATCTTGTAACTTGGTATATCTTGGTGTAACTACTAGCCTAAAAGTTACACTTAGCATAAAAGTCTAATTATTACACAGCTATACATGCACTACAAAATTTTCTATATAAACCATCCCCGTAGTACTTAAGGACCTAAAAAGGAAAAATTATTTTTATAGCTTCTACACTGGATACTAGTAATGCAGCTCATGTCCATGGACCTTTACATATAGGACAACAGACTCAGCACAGTGGCCCCATATTTGTTAATGGCCCTAATTCCATGGTACAGTTTTATTTAGGATTTGTTCTCTAATTCCTTTATTACATTGTATTACCCCACTACCATTCTTATGGACACAATGTTCTCATAATTAATTCTGGTTTAGGTTTCAGGCAATTTTCTAGAAAATTCCTTGTAAATTCACACCTACTAGCATGTACAATATTGTAGGTATTGTTTCTAGAAAGGTATAATCTACTTAATATTTCCATCAAAATACTGGAGAAGATGTACTTTGTAATACAGAATTCACCAAACATTAATATACTTAATTAAAACTTGCTAATAAATTATAATTACTTTGTGGAAATTCAGCTCATTGCCCTATACCACAGTGAATACATGTATGCATGTGCATACATAGAGAAAAGCAAAAGCACGCAGACACACACTCATTAGCATCTGGCTATCTTGTGCAGAGTGTTCTCCCAGTACATGGATGCCTAAGCTGCCTTTCATTTGGGATACTGCCAATTGAATATAGTTTGGTGGCAGTTTCTAACTTCAGCTTTTTTAATTCATAGTATAAGCAATGAAGTGACTGGCAGATCAACACTCGGCAACAGCAGAATCATTATAAATGGGAAAACATGAGAGGGCAGAAATGCGAGGCACATTATGGCATGACAGAAAACAGGAAGCCTTGAACAAAAAGCCATTTGTAGTCACTTTTTTAATTAAGAAAATGCCTTCTTTTGCTATGGATCATTTTCATGGCAAGAGTCTTGGTCCTGTGACTAAGCCATCACTCTATATCAAAAAGCATGGTGGATAAGAATTATCTAGTGAAGACTAGGAACTAGGATTAGGATTAAAAAAATGCATTTTTGTGATTAAAATCTATTTGAAATTTAGGCACTTAAATAAGAAATATGCTTACAGTGTCTTTGCTTAACTGCTGTGTGTCTCTTGAAGGTGCCTGAAATTTGTAAAGATTTCCTTCAATTTTTCACCTTCAACTTCTGCAAGAGTAAGAAATTTTGGTCCTGACTATGCTCAGAAGAGTTTCAGGCTTGACCGGTCACAACTCATTCCTGACTGAATATGCATTTCTTCGTCTTATCACCTGATCAGTTTGCAGTTCCTGAAGCATGATTAACACACACGTTTACAGGATTAAGTGCCTCCAAGAATGCAATGAGGACACTGTTTTCTTTTAAATATTGTATCTGTAGGAGAAAGCCTTTCTTTTATGGTGGAAGCTTAATGACTGGAGCTCATGTCTCAAATGTGGGATAATCCACCTTAAAATTTTCCCTATAGGAATTCAAACCAATATTTTTGTCACCTTGTAGAATAACCCAATTGGGGTCCTTCCATTGGGAAAAGGAAAGATTTGGCTAATGAAGAGAGTCAGCAGTCAAACCATCCTGTTATACAATGAAGAAATAGATGCACCATTGTCATTGTGGTCATACTCAGTCCTGCTAACCACCAGCCTATAGGTTTGAATAAGGTACATCCTCCATCTCTTCTACTGACATAATGCTCTTGTGCAGTAAATAAATAAATCAATAAATATTTGAGTGGACTACAAAAAGAAGCAAAAGGGAGAATGTTGGTGATCAGGCAATTCATATGGGAAATTCAGGTTTCGGTCCCTATTTCAAGGTAGTTTCTGCATTTTAGTCACTGACTACTGACTGTCAAAAAATTATAAACAGATTTTGTAGCAGGGAAAGATTTCTTTCTCAAAACAGATGCCTTAATTATTAGGCACTACCAAAAGTCATGTTCCTTCTTACTACCACAGTTCAGGAATCACAGATTATTTTCTGCACAAATGCAGCTTCAGCATAAGAAATGGAGAATACTCCACTAGTGCAGAACAGTCCTGTGATTACATTTTTAAAAACAGGCTTCAGCAGCTAATTAATCTAATAATCACTAATGAAAATATTTAGATTACTTCCTTCTCAGTCATTTTAATGACATATAGTATTTAAATTAGTAGAATCCAATTACAGTTCCAAATTACTTTTTGCAGAGAAGTTGCCAATTAAATATTATCAGAGCTATAATCTATTTTGATAAAACTTCAGTTAATACATACATAACTTCATAACCTTTAAAAAAGAACAAGCACAGGAAAAGTATCTAGGACAATTTAAAACATGGTTTACTACTACCATGATCAGAATCAGTAACATTATCAGAATTAATCTGCTATGGGTGGGAACTCAAAATTAGAAGCCAACAGAGAGTTTTCCTGAGTGCATACTTCTGATTGTACTGGGACTTCACAGTCAATATCTTAGACTGTATCTGTGTGAGAAGATTTTCTTTTAGAGTCATCCATACAGTAACATCATCTGAAGCATCATTGCCAGTTACAATACGTCTGCAGAATAAAATAGCAGTATCTTCTTCACACTTTCCAATTGAGGCATTTAGAATGTTTTATGCATGGCAAGGTTTTGGTAGTGGGAGGTTACAGGGGTGGCTTCTGTGAGAAGCTGCTAGAAGCTTCCCCTGTGTCCAACAGAGCCAATGCCAGCCGGCTCCAAGACAGACCTGCTGCTGGCCAAGGCTGAGCCAATCAGCGGCAGTGGTAGTGCCTCTGTGATAACATGTTTAAGAAGGGAAAAAAAAACCCCAAAACACCGGGACACAAACTGCAGTTGGAGTGAAGAGTGAGAATATGTGAGAGGAACGACTCTGCAGACACCAAGATCAGTGAAGAAGGAGGGGGAGGAGTTGTTCCAGGCACTGGAGTAGAGATTCCCCTGCAGCCTGTGGTGAAGACCATGGTGAGGCAGGCTGTGCCCCTGCAGCCCATGGAGGTCTACGGTGGAGCAGATATCCACCTGCAGACCGTGGAGGACCCCATGCCAGAGCAGGTGGATGCCCAAAAGAGGCTGTGACCCCATGGGAAGCCCGCACTGGAGCAGGCTCCTGGCAGGACCTGTGGACCCATGGAGAGAGGAGCCCACACTGGAGCAGGTTTTCTGGCAGGACTTGTGACCCTGCAGGGGACCCACACCAGAGCAGTCTGCTCCTGAAGGACTGCACCCCATGGAAGGGACCCACGCTGGAGCAGTTCATGAAAAACTGTAGCCTGTGGGAAGGACCCACATTGGAGAAGTTTGTGGAGGACTGTCTCCCATGGGTGGAACCCCATGGTGGAGCAGGGGAAGAGTGTGAGGAGTCCTCCCCTGAGAAGGAAGGAGCAGCAGAGACAACGTGTGATGAACTGACTGCAACCCCCATTCCCTGTTCCCCTCTGCTGCTTGCGGGGAGGAGGTAGAGAAAACCATGGGTGAAATTGAGCCTGGGAAGAAGGGAGGGGGGAGGGGAAGGTGTTTTAAGATTGGTTTCTATTTCTCATTACCCTACACATGTTCTCACTCCTCTCTCCTACTCAGTTTTGATTGGTAGTAAATTAAACTGATTTTCCTGAAGTCGAGTCTGTTTTGCCCATGACAGTAATTGCCGAGTGATCTCCCTGTTCTTATCTTGTCCCACGAGCTTTTCGTTATATTTTCTCTCCCCTGTCCAGTTGAGAAGGGGAGTGATAGAGCAGCTTTGGTGGGCACTTGGCATCCAGCCAGGGTTAAAACACCACAGTGCTGTAAAGGTGCCTGAACAAGATTCCTTTTCTTATCCTATGTACAAAGATAGAATAGAATCAACCAAAATCCTACATTCAGACCAAGAAACTTTTGCATAATCACCGTCTTCGTTACACAGAACAATTAAAGGTTAAACTACAACAACTTGTGCTTTGTTCTACACCCAAGTCATGGCTTTGAAGAGTAAGATAAATACTAATACAAACAATCTGCAAAAAAAAGAAATACTTTTAAATGAACAAGAAAGACATTTCTGAAAAGAAACAAGGAAATACGACTAAATGTGTGATGCAGCCTGTACAAAAAAGGATCTCAGGGTGAGAATTACTAGAATCTTATCCATATTTATACCCTCAGATTCAAGCATGAGAAAATCACTTATGAAAACTTTTATGTTAGTTTATGTCTACACCATAGCATGCAGTACTGTTCAAAAATACCCATGCTAATTCTGAATGAACTAGCATTGGTACTAAGCATAGCACTTACTCCACTTGAGGTGGTGTGCCTCCACCATGTACAATTGTGCAGGACAGAGCACTGGGTTAACACAATAATAATGGCTTCGGCATCCACTGTAACTCACTAAGTACTAGCTCGGATTTGTCCATTTGGCACCACATTGTGCCAGGAAGAGGTACATTTTATTCCGGTCACAGTAGGTAACAGATTCAAATATCTCAAAGCTTTAAAATGACAATGGGTAGGATGTCATTTGAAAATGAAAGGATCTTACATCAAGATAAAAAAACCCAATATAAAGTTGGTTAATTTTCTTGTTAATGATTTAACTAAATAAAATAGAAGAAAAAGATTAATCTTCTAAAAAATTGTCCTATGCTGATTATTACTGTAAATGCAATACTGTACTACCATCTCATTCAAAACCCACAACCTTACATCAATTTACGTTAAAAACCATTACAAGTTTGTATACACTGTTATACAGGAATTGGATAGAGATTTGAATTCAACACTAGTAACCTTGGGAAAAAAAGAAAAGCATCAGAGTATTTTAAATATGGAAATAGTCTTACCTCTTTGCTTTCTTCCAGGTCTGATTCGCTGCTGAACTCCTCTGTATTTAAATTTTCAAAATCTGATTCCCCGACAGCAATTGGCACTGTCACAGTGAGACTTGGGTTGTTTATGAATGACATGTAATCACTTTCATCAACAACATATTTTTCCACGCTGCTGCCTATGCCACTGGTAGTTCCATTCCCTTCTTTAAGATAGGCAAGGTTTTTACCTATTTCTACTATTGTGTGGTTGGAAATACAGCTGTCTTTTTTGTTGTTTAGGTCTTCAAGAGGTTTGATTTCATCTAAAACTTTCTGCTTTCTAACAAAGGCTTTTTGGATGAATTCACGCACTTTTCTCTTCACGTAATCTATGCCTTTCTGAATCCTTGCCACAGCAATCTGTAGATTGTTCATTTCATTATCATCGTCTGTAGCAGCAAGGTTGTCTGAACTAAATGAGCTCAGGAGCAAGGCCAAAAAGAGGTTGAGTACCTAAAAGACAGTAAGGAGAAAATATACTGGATCTCTCATTTTTATGTCATAAAAGTATGGGTTGTTCATTATGACATAATTTTTATTTCACAGCTAGCACTTCCTTTCAACCCACCTTCCTGCTATTCTTTCCAGTCCATAATTCCTGTCCCCCATATTTTATTATAACTTGCCAAAAACATTTTTAGCTTGTTTAACTTGACTAAAATAGGTGAAAATCTGGGCTGTTCCTTGACTTTCTCCTCCACACTGGAAGTCGTGTGGGTCTGCTCCTCAAAATGGAGAATGACATAAGGAGGCGGGATACAACATGATGTAGTAATTTATGGAAGCTACATCCAAATCGTTCATAGGTGAGGGGAATGCAGGCAGGCTCTGGTCTTCTACAGTTCAACAGACCATAGTTTCAGTGTCTCTAATTCAGAATATAATAAACTTCTATATTTGCCAATAATGTATCAGTCTATGTTTGTTTTGGTCAGGAAAACTAGCTAAGAGATACAGAGTCCATAGATGTGATACACCTAAATTTTAGGAAACTATTACAGACTTTGTTGCATGACATTTTACAAACATACAAGCTAAAGCTGGACTACATGTAATTATGACAGACTATATGCAAAACTGATTAAAAATAATTTTTAAATTATCTTTGTCAATTCTTCCTGTTCAAACTTGCAGAATATTTTAGAAGGTATACCACAGGAGTCTCACATTAGTCTGGTTAAACTTGGTATTTATGCCTGTGGATAAGCATATTTATAAAAGTCATGGATGATACCAAGAAGAGAAGGGATGTTAGCACTCAACAAGAATGAAACACAATTAGACATAACCATGGTAAATTGGTGAAATGATTCAAAAATCAGTATGGCATTTAATTCTGAAGTACTAGTGTGGAAACGTTGGTTACAAAAAATGAAAAGTACATATACAGAAGGTGTGAAAACTGGCAAGGTGGAAGCACTGCAGAAAAGGGCATATAGGCTGCAGCAGGAAAGCAACACTGGTACAGAAATTTCATGTGTCATTTGGGGATGTATCACAAGGAACGTTGGGTGTAAGACATGGGAGTATAATTATTCCACATTATTTGGTACTTGTGTCTCTAACCAAAATGCTGCTTGGGAGGAATTCAGAGGCCAGTAGCAAAAGGGATAAGTAGTTTAGAAATCATCACCTATAAGAAAAAATTGAACATCTATGCTTATTTTGATTCAGAAAGAAAAGACCGAAAGTGTAAACAGTAAGCCTTTAAGTAATATAAATGTTGTCATGACGACCAACTCTTTTCTATCACTATTGAGACCAGTCAGTTTAATTGGCCGTAAAAGGTGATTTAAGTTAGATGTTTTTTTAAAAGGCATTTTTAACTATAAGCATAATTCAGCACTGATCTTACCAAAGGGGTTATAAGCTTACTGAAGCTGTAAAGAAAAGGTAGACAAACATTTTTCATAAATGATCAAGGTATATTTGAACCTGGCTTAGAGAAAAGGCAAATGAATTACATGATCTCCTAAAGTCCTCCGGTCTTCATCTCTGATTTCTAAACCATGAAAAATAGGAAATATGTTCTAATAGTTTTAAAAAATCCCCACTGATTACGTACCACTAGGTTTCCAATCACCATGACCATCATGAAGACCGTAAGGCACATAGTTTGGCCTGCAACCTCCATGCAATCCCACATCGTTTCTATCCATTCTCCACACAACACTCGAAACACAATCAAGAAAGAGTGGAAAAAGTCATGCATGTGCCAGCGTGGAAGTTCACAGTCGCTAGAGATCTTGCAGACACACTCCTTGTAGCTTTTCCCAAACAGCTGCATCCCAACCACAGCGAAAATGAACACAATGATGGCCAGCACCAGGGTCAGGTTTCCCAAAGCTCCCACTGAGTTGCCAATAATCTTAATCAGCATATTTA